CATCCATGCCAAAAACTGGACAGATTATATGTTGCAACTTTCAGTGTCATTCATGACCTGTTTGATTGGATAAAGTTTTACGACTTGGAGGCCATTTTTTCCCTCCAAAATCTAAAAAAAACAAGCTTTTTCTAGCTGTTAACAGCTTTTTCTCAGATATGTCATCCAGTTTTGTTCAAAGTTGGTACAGGGACTGGTAATAATTGTTTACAAGTGCGCATCGCATTATATGTTTAACAAGTTATAAATTGTCTCAGAAAAGCCAAATGAATAAATTTTTACCCCACCCCCTAAAATTGTAACACATCAATTCTGAACATTTAATAATGAAATTTTAATACAGCTCATAATGAATTAATTCACTCTGACACAAACTAAGTTCAATATAAGTTTTTAAATTTTTTTCTGAGCGGGGGCTATGACATGACATGACATGTCTTGTTTATATTTATCTTGTAATTATTTTCAGTAATTTAAAAAATTTAAAATTTGTTCAAAAATGTAAACCCCTTGCTGATTTTAGACATAATAATGGTAGTCATACCCTCGTCATTTTCAAACTGCAGTTGTGATTTGCTCAAGGAAGGCATCTTTGATTTGAAAACGTCCATCAAATTGTTATAATCAAGCCTTCCATCCATCGGTACTCTCCCACCTTGGTAAAAAATCTGAATTTGATACATATAAATGCACAAGTAATGTAAAAACAACTTTTAGTTTGGCTCAAAACTGCCGTGAAACTGCAGCGAGTCCAATGCTTAAGAAACTTTACTTTGAGCCTTCCCGCCAACAACGAGTTCATTAATACCTTGGGTTACTCAACACTCGGGAGTTGTTTTGTAAATTGCGCTATGTCAGGTGGACTCAGATGGGTATAACAATTAAAAATAACACTTTGAATGCATTTGCAACATATAACTTGTTAATGTATGATAACCAACGCGTGTCGTTTTAAAAACAGCGTTTTACCCGCATCTAGCAAAAAAATGGAATGATCCCAAATGTGGGCATACCAATACAACGGTGTCATCAAGACTATTTAAATATAGACAGGACAAAAAATCTCACTTTTTGAAAGTGAATGAAAAAGGAAAATTTTGATTAATTTTGACAAGCTTTGCAGGGATAAGAGGTGGAACATAGGAACTCCATCAAATAAGTCTGCAAGTGGTTTTAATGCAACTAATTTTCATGTTTTTTCTTCCATTCTTAGTTACATTTATTTGATGTTTTATTCGTGATTTTGGTGGTCCAGGAGTGAACTGTATTCAAGTTTTAAACAATAACATTACGTTATCATGTTTTTCTTTGTTTTATAATTACATGTATTTAATGTGCTTTTTGTGATTTTAGTTGCGTGAAGTATTATTTCTGTATTATTCTCTGTAGTAGATTTTCGTGTTGAATAAAATTATTATTATATTTGTATCAAAGTTTCCCGCTTGAGTTCAGAATCCCCATGAGGATATATAAACACTCAATGTACTTGATTTATGGCTTTTCTATGTTCACGTACGTCAAATAAACAACTAGTTATACGCTAATACGCTGGACATCTGGTTATATAAAGAGTATTACCGGTACGTCCAAGTATACGATTTTCTCACAATGTTGTTCATTTTAGTCGACGCAAAAATCTTGAGATTTTCTTTACATCAGTAATTGAAGAGTTAATTACCCCAGCTCCGACACGCAAGTTTTTCACTTCAGGCATCAAATATGATTAGGACAAACTCAGCGATGACCGATATAGGCTCAGAGTTCCATGGAAATAGAAGTCGACACTTCGACTGACTACCATACAAGTAATTGTGAAGTCCAGACCAACCCTGTTGTAGTTCTTGCTAACTTGGCATCTAACTTAACCCTATGCGACAAACTTAATATGTGTTCATTATGGCTCATTCTTCCTTATATACACGTATCGGCAATGCAAGCTGCCCAGCAAGTTCCCCTTCTTACGTCACAAGGGGAATTGAAGCTAATGAGGAGCCTCTTTTTAAAATACACAAAAATAAAGTTACTGTAGAGTTTCAAACAAAATAATATTGATGTACCAATGAATGATTTTAGGTGACAAAATAGCAGCCATTTTACAGGCACTTTAATAGTAAAACACAACAACATGAAACATAAAATGTAGTAAGCGTTTTGATATTACACAATTAGTATTGGTGCCGTACTGATTTGATACACTGGTGACATCATCCAGGGTGTCCAAAACTGTCATGAGCGTGCAAAAAAGGTAGACAAGACAGAAAACTGACATTTATTATGAAATCTAACTTAACATACAAAGCATGGTCAATACCAATGATTTTCCATTTGTTACAATTTCTTTGACTGTAGAAGACTTGGTGGTGCAAGCAAGTTGAGAACAGGTACTATCCAAGCAAAGGTTTGCCTGCAGCTGTTTTCTTGTGGTATTCGGGCTCACTATTTGTTATTGTTTCCTTCCTGGCCTTTGTACAAAATATAAAGCCCAAATAGAAATCCCAATCAAATCACCTAAAACACGTCAAAAATAAGCCGCAGCCAAACCTCTGCTTAGAAAGTAGCAATTCAAACCCTGTTTGCCAACCTTGAAGACCGTTAGGGCATATATTTACTCGTTTTTCTGTTACTTTATATAATTTCGGAACATGGGGATTTCGGAACATAGGGCTTGAACCATTTAAGAAAGGTCATACTTTGTTTCATGTTGATTTTTGTAGCTTCATGAATTGAAAACAAATGTAAAATTATTTATTAGTTATCATTGGGATTTCTGGAAACAGAGTACTATAATTTGGTGTAGAATTATTCTACATCACTTTGGTGAAAGAACTAAAACTTCAGCAAAAACTCTTTTACATTTTACTATAGTCTATTTTTCACATAAAAATGTTTCTCATAACTATTTTTTAGTTTTTAGTAGGGCTAAAATATACAAACACAATGGATTTTGTTTATTTATATATGTAATTCACATTGATATAAGTATGATCATTGTTCATGGACAGAAGGGCTACTACAATAACATGTGTGCAGATTGTAATGCTTGATTGTTTTGCTCAACAAAAAGTCTACAACATTCTTAAAAATAATAATTTGATTATAATTTTGGTTTACTATTTGTACTAGGCTCAACTTGAAAAGAAGTTAGAGGAGAATGAAAGATTGGCTCACCAATACAGATATCTACAAGACAAGGTGATTGCAACTAAGGACAAACTTATGAATGAATTTGATGGAAAAATTAAATTTGAATCCAGTCTTAAAGATCATAAGCAGGTATGTTGTTGACCAGCACTACTCTATTTTATTAGCTTCATTGGTATCCAGCATGCATTTGAAAGATTTCTACTTGAAACAGGGCTTCACTTGTCACACATGTTTTATTAGTTCAGCAGATTTACATAACAATTGTAATCCAAAGTTCACTGCTTCTGTCTGTTTAGTGAGTCGGTCATGGGAGAATTGAGTAAGTCAAGAAATAGACCACTTTTTCATTTGCAAAATTACAAAACCCAAACGTGCCATCAAATGTGATTTATATGTGCAGAAGCATTTCTGTGCACAAAAAGATGGGCAGATGAAAATGGAGCAAAATTATCAATCGCCCATTATGGTAAATTGTTCTTTTTATCAGAGACTGGATGGTTTTAAGCAAATCACATGACACAGACAATAAGTATTTACTTCCTACCCATAATTCTTTGCGAAGGACTTCAAGTAGTTTGAACAAGATTTTATTTTCAGGGTTTTGCTTCCCCCCCCCCCCCCCTGCAAGATTATTTTAACTATTGTGATAGGGGTTGAATTTAGAATACATCTTTCTCACATCTTGTGTGCTCTAGCAACAAAATGCAAGGTATCCCAAAAATATGTTTTGAGAGAATAACCATATTCTAAATGACTAAATTGACTACAAAACCATTCAGTTGTCAATTTAAAACACTGCTTACACCCATTTACATCACAGAAGCGCTGTCACTAAAGGGTGCATGTCATTGAGTTGCTTCTATGCCAGTACATAACCATATATTATTGGATTTCTTTCAGTTGAATGGTCTACAGTCAAGACTGCATGCTTCATTAGCTATTTATTATAAGATCAGAGGACTTTACAACCAAGCTGAATTAGCGAAATTTGAAGCAGTCTCACAGAAGAATGGACAACGTATTCATATATTACAAGTAGATATGGATGAAGCTATTAGTACAATTGCTCTGTTTTTAAATGACCAGATTGATGGTACTGCAGCTCAAATGGTAGCTGCTGCTGCCAAATCAGCTCTCTTTGAAAACTCTGACCCTATACCACAAACAAAAAAACTTAAATCAGCTCTCAAGAAACCAGTCAGTACATAATTTACACATGTATTTAATTACAAAATAATACAAGTGACTTGCATATATTTGTTAGATTTAACCAAAACAAATTATATATTTTAAGGTATTTGTAATGTCCTGTATCTTAATTTTATGTTGCATTCCCACTAATATGTGAAACATAACTTTCAGAATGAGTAAAAACATGTTAAAATGATTCTGTTTTAGCTAAAAATATATATTGTGGAATACTTTATTTTCGCTGAAAAGGCTTTTGGGCGTTTTTTATGGAATTTATTTTCACTGTTTTTTGATGAGTTTAATGAGAAATATAGGAAAAAAAGTATATTCGCTGGATTTTATTTTCACGAAATCATCCCTTCAGCGAAAATAGCGAAAATAAAGTATTCTACAGTATATTAAATGTACTGTAGATATCCTGGCATCATTTTCATTGGAGGGTCTTATTTCTCAAACATTTCTACCATATACCTGATCTCAGTGAATGTCTATTGTTAAATATGGCTTAAATTCATATACTGCAGTTATTTATCAGTTACCCATCTACAATCCCAATATTTGATGTTGTATATATTGGTCAGTGTATGGTACATCACAGATTTTCAAAGTGGGAATTCAACTTTAAGTTCCATCCATTATTTTGTCAACATTCCTGTCCTGCCTGTAGTAAAATAAACTGTACTCTCTGTGACGCATACCTGCGTATTATGACTTGCCATCTGTTATGTAATATGAACCTTGCACACCTAGCACATTGATTCAACTGAGAATATTTTATTTGTTTGACACTGTGTTTTTAGAATAGGAGTGAAACTGTTTCTGTATGAAAACTGACTTTATTGAAATCCAAATAACAAGCAACAGCAGTCAATATTTTGTACAATATGTAAAGCTATATTAAAATGTAAATATTTAAACCATATACAGTATTCTATATTCAATCCAAATACAATATTATAAACAGTTGATTTATACAATTCATTAAATAAATTTAAGTACATTCTGGAGTAATAGTTGTGAATCACTTATTGGTTGCAAGAATAGTCACTGTGGTACATGCCCTGTGTGGTAAATTATTCATTGGTTATTGCATACAATTTACTGAGAAATGGATAAATTCTGGATATTTTCATTCCCGAGTAGGCTTCTACCTAAATATGTTGCAAAGGGGATAGAGGTACATGTGTAGTTTGCAAAATGAACAAAGCACAAACTCCAAACAATTCCAAACCACAACAAAAAAAAGTAAAAACAGTGTATCCAATAACACCCCTCCCCATACCATGCATTATGTTTTGTCAGGATTAAAAGTTCTATGAATACATAATGAACATCACCAAACTCTACCATCAGCATATGCAGGGTGTGCTTTAGAATATTCATGTCTTTGTTTTGATGCTTGAAAACTAGCTTCTAATAATGCTTTGTGTTCAGAATTAGCTGCTTTCTTTTCTTCTTTTCTTTTAATTATCTCAAGTCTGGAAGATAAACATATCAATCTAGGTTATTGCTACATGTATATGCAAGGATAATGACAAACTATATTTTGTAATTACTTTGATAATAGTAGCGTTCCCGCATACTCCTTAGCACCGACTAAGAGGTTAAATACCTTAGCCAAATTAAATCTGGCCTGTTTTTAAGACCTGGTCTAGATCCTGAGCGCTCAAAACGCCATGATTGTATTCTATGTTTATTTGGACTTACTATTATATTTATATATTCAATTTGGTATGCCATTTTCGACATGACAATCAACGCAAGCACATCAAGGGACATTAACTGATCATGAGACTCTGTGCTTCATCCTATTATTCTGCAATCTGAACTTTCTGAATTTGCTCTGTATTGTTGTATAACCCTAGAACTAACATGTATACCTTTCTAGTTACTGTACTGAGTAACCATAGTTAAAATGATCAAATATTTTTGTATATTTCTAATAAGTCTTGGTTTTCTTTACCCATGCTAACCACAGTTAGTCGATATGCAAACATATGAGATTAGCTTAAATCTTAGCCCATACTTCGTGTAGCGTGAACACTGCTAATATATTTTTCGTACTCCTACCTATGTTGTAGCACTGGCATATCTAGGGACATTAGACTTTAGTGTTATGAATGGTGTGCTAGACAAGACCAAAAATAAATCACAATGACCTTTCTACATACACAGCAAGGAAATGTACCTGACAGTTTCTTCTAATTGTGAAGCAGCATCATCCAATACTTTAACAGAGACATCACATATGGAGAATGATTGTCCATATAATACAGCCTGTTGGTATAAAACAAATGCAGGTATCATTCATTATATATTTACCTAACCAAAATGTATATACCAGTACAACCAATTTATGTATACCTGGTACCCAATCTTTCTATATTTATTTAAATCTGTCTATACCCAAATCAATCAATATAGACCAATTCTATCCATATATACCCAATCCATCTATAATGTAGACCCAATCCATCTATAATATTGATCCAATCCATCTATAATATAGAATCCAGTTTATCCATATAGACCGAATCCATCTATAATATAGACCTAATCCATCTATAACATAGACCAAATCCATCTATAATATAGGACCCAGTTCATCCATATATACCCAATCCATCTATAATATATCCTAGTCCATCCATATATACCCAATCCATCTATAATATAGACTCAATCCATCTATAATATAGAATCCAGTCCATCCATATAGAACCAATCCATCTATAATATATCCCAGTCCATCCATATATACCCAATCCATCTGTAATATAGAACCCTGTCCATCCATATATACCCAATCCATCTATAATATAGAACCCAGTCCATTTATAATATTGACCCAATCCATCTATAATATAGAACCCAGTTCATCCATATAGACCCAATCCATCTATAACATAGACCAAATCCATCTATAATATAGGACCCAGTTCATCCATATATACCCAATCCATCTATGATATAGGACCCAGTTCATCCATATATACCCAATCCATCTATAATATAGACCCAATCCATCTATAATATATCCCAGTCCATCCATATATACCCAAACCATCTATAATATAGACTCAATCCATCTATAATATAGAACCCAGTCCATTCATATATACCCAATCCATCTATAATATAGACCCAATCCATCTATAATATAGAACCCAGTCCATCCATATATACCCAATCCATCTATAATATAGAACCCAGTCCATATATAATATAGAACCTAGTCCATCTATAATTTAGAACCCAGTCCATCCATATATACCCAATCCATCTATAATATATCCCAGTCCATCCATATATACCCAATCCATCTATAATATACTCAATCCATCTATAATATAGAACCCAGTCCATCCATATATACCCAATCCATCTATAATATAGAACCCAGTCCATCCATATATACCCAATCCATCTATAATATATCCCAGGCCATCCATATATCCCCAATCCATCTATAATATAGACTCAATCCATCTATAATATAGAACCCAGTTCATCCATAAATACCCAATCCATCTATAATATAGAACCCAGTCCATCCATATATACCAAATCCATCTATACTATAGACCCAGTCCATCTATAATATATCCCAGTCCATCTATAATATATCCCTGTCCATCCATATACCCAATCCATCAATAATATAGAACCCAGTCCATCCATATATACCCAATCCATCTATACTATAGAACCCAGTCCATCCATCTATAATATAGACCCAATCCATCTATAATATATCCCAGTCCATCCATATATACCCAATCCATCTATAATATATCCCAGTCCATCCATATATACCCAATCAATCTATAATATAAACTCAATCGATCTAAAATATAGAACCCAGTCCATCCACATATACCCAATCCATCTATAATATAGAACCCAGTCCATCCATATATACCCAATCCATCTATAATATAGAACCCAGTCCATTCATATATACCCAATCCAG